CGGAAGTTTTTAAGAAGAGACTGGACAGCCATTTGTCTGAAATGGTATAGGGTTACCTGCCTGAGCAGGGGGTTGGACTTGATGACCTGCAAGGTCCCTTCCAACTTTATTATTATTATTATTGTTATTATTGTTTTGTTGTTGTTGTTGTTATTATTATTATTATTATTATTATCTATGCAGAGTCTCCTGTGGGATGCTTTCCCTGCCCCGTCCCTTCTTGTGGGCTGAGATATCTTTTTTCTTACCATTATCTAAGCTGTAGCTCTTCCTGTTTCTGTGTCTCAAGATGATTCTCATAGCCTGTTACAATATATTTGGGTAGTTGGTATGGTAATAATTCTGCGAGTTACTAACTTCACTTATTTACAAAGTTATGGGAAATATTTGTGACATTCCAAAAGTAAGCTGTTTCTCCAATCTTTTCTGCCTGAAACTCCTGACCCACTAGAGCTCTTGAAATTGAAATGTTGTTACAGAAAGCCCATTAAACTGTTGGAAGTATTCCTTGTGGACTATATAGTACTACTAACAGTATGCTTAAACATAGATATGAACATAGAAAGTCAGAAAATATATGAAATACAAAAGATCATGAAATAAATAATAAAAAACTAATAAAAGCCATAATATAAGAGAGCCAGTTTGAGCTAGTGGTTAAGGCAAGAGGCTAGAAACTGGGAGACCATAAGACCATAGCCATGAAAGCCAGCTGGGTGATTTTGGGTACGTTGCTTTCTCTTAGCCCAACTCACCCCACAAGAAGTTGTTGTGAGGCAAGGGGGAGGAGGAATTGGTATTAAGTATGTTCGCCAAATTGAGTTATCTATAAAAATAATAATAAACATGGAATATAAAATAAAGAAATAATTCACATGTCAGGAATTTGAAATGAGTTGCTATGCTGGAGGGGGTCAAATTGTAAATGGTTGCCCTCCTTCGTGTCTTATCTAGCCTTATTGCCTTATGGACTTACCAGTCGTATTCAATACAGTTACACTGTTCTTTTTCATATTAGGATTTGATTGCGGTTGTTTTTAATACTACTTCCTTTTTCTCCCTCTAGGCTCTAATTCTTCATCAGCTTGGCCGGCACAGCTTGGCCGAGAAGATCCTTCGGGATGCTGTCCAGGTGAACTCAACAGCCCATGAGGTCTGGAATGGCCTCGGGGTGGTCCTGCAAGCTCAGGGTAATGATGATGCAGCCACGGAATGTTTCCTGACAGCACTGGAGCTTGAAGCCAGTAGCCCTGTTGTCCCTTTCACCATCATCCCTCGAATCCTTTGAAAAGCAGACTGCTCATCCTGCTTCAGCTGAACTTGAGAATGTGAGGACGCCTATGAGCTAATCTTTCCTTCTGACTCCAAGGGGCAGCTCTTCACCCTGAGAGGTAACAATATACAACTGCAGGCAATCTGCTCATTTCTGTCGGGTGTCCAACACGGGGAAACAATATAGGATCTTAATCAGTGAAGAAAAATTGAAAAAGAGAAGGAAATAAATACACATGCACACTTTAAGCCACCATGTACGTATTGTCTACATATTTTTTTTTTGCCACATAGTCATTTTGAAACCTGATGCTTATTGTTCAAATGGATATTGTGCCATATTTTGTTAGGTGACATCAGAGTGTTATGTAAAAAACTCTAAATAGAATCAGTAATAGATAATAGATTCAAGTTAAAATTCAGTGGCAGAGGAAGCCTATTTTTAACCAAGCCTGTCAAAGACCTGTTCTCTTCATGGCTTTCAACCTCTCTGGAGCTCAGAATCAAAATGTGAAATTTGCTGTGTTCCATCTTCTACGGTAGTCCAGCCCAGCAAATCAGCTGAAAGGTTATGTTTTGAGTTGTTAATAGCTGTGATGTGTAGCTAATTGTTATTTCTTGTATTTAGAAGAAAGGTTGTGTACAAGAATATTTATATTTTACCAGCGTATGCCTGTTGAAAAAAAAAGAAATGAAAATATTAGTTATTTAAGTTTAACTTTTTTATGTGAATCCAGAGTTTATTTATCAATGGAAATATGTAAAAAAGATGCTACAAATAGAATATTTACCGACATTCCTTATGAAGTATACACTACCTTGGCTCAATGGAAAGATTATGTTAATAATAAAATGATTTTTGAATGCATACAATGCTTGTTATTTTTATTTGATAGCTGGATGAAGATAATTAGAACTGACTCATGGCATGGCCAAATTACATGCATCTCAGTTGAACTACTATTGTGCATAAGTGTATTAAACAATAATACATTATATATTTATTATTCATTAATGCTAATTAATTGATTAAATCATTAAAGGCAAATATCTTTGATAAAACTCCTAAAGCAGCTGCATTTGGTTCAGTCATGGAATCCTGAAAAAAGATTCATATTTCAATGAATAATATTAATGTATGCCAAAGCCACATCTTTGAATCATTTTATATGCACATAACTATAATATATACAGCATTCTAATTTTATATTCTTACTATTAATTAGGTATTTATCAATTTACTAACTATACTTATTATTACTATATAATGTGTACATATACATAGTGTACATTTCTCACATTTTGGGGAGATATTTTGTGTCAGCAATATTAGTTGGAGTTCTCTCACTGCCTGAAATGTATATATTTGTTTGTTTGTATTTAATTCCTGCTAGAATCCAGATCTTCCTTTATCAGTTAAAGCTGCCATTGGCATATCAGCCAAAGCTAACTTCAGCTTCCTCTTGCTTATAGAACAGGAGCCATGAATGCAGAAGGTCTCCCTAAGCATGAAACTGCTGCTTTTATATGCAGGCTGTGCAGACTAACACTCCATTGATCAACAACCATGAATAAATAGCAACTCCATATTGCTTGAATCAACTTCAGCCTGTTCTCTCACATTGAGACTTTACAGACTGCAGGCATCAGGATAAGACTTCAACATACAGCCCCTATAGTCTAGAGTGGTGATATACATCTGGATATCATCAGCATATTAATGATAACTGCACTTCAAACTGTAGAAACAGGGGAAGGAGGATAGAGCCTAATGGCAACCTAAGGTCATAAGTCACTGGTCCAGACTTCCCCCCTTAAATAGATTGAATTTTTCCTTCTTTAGAAGAGCAGAACTCTATTGTAAAATAGCATTCCCAATTCCTAACCTCTGCAAATAGCCCAGTAAGATACATGGCCAATCATATCAAAAGCTGTCAAGAGATCCAAAAAGTCAGTAGAATGCATACCCTCTCCAGGTCCTGACACAGGTAATCCATTAAGAGGACTAAAACCATCTCATCTCATACATGGGCCTGATTCGGTGATCAAAAAGGATCAAGATAATCCACTTCTAGAATGTTCCGTAGGTGGTTGACCACCGAAAGATCAAAAACGTTCCCCCTCCCCCCAAAAAAGGTTAGATGCCAGCTAATATTTATATAAGACCCCTCAGATCTAGGCATGACCTCTTCGAAAAAGAGGTGTGTGTGAACCACAACTTTCAAAATTTTAGGCAAACTCCTATAGCAAAGCATTGACAGATTTGAATGGATTCCTTGAACCAGCTGCTATGCCATTATTAGCAATACAAGCATGTAGACATATTTTAGTTGCACTAGCACAGTGTTTCTCAACCTTGCCTAGCACAGCAGTGCTGGCTGTGGAATTCTGGGAGTTGAAGTCCACATGCCTTAAAATTGTCAAGGTTGAGAAACACTGGCCTAGCACAATCCTATGCATTGTTATTTTTTTTTGTTAAAAAGGCCATTATGTTCAGTGACAAATACTTCCAGACAGAGAATTGCAACCAAAAAAGCCATTTGAAAGATTGTAATCTTTCACCTCTGATTTAATACAATTTCTTCCTAAAATGCAGGTTAGATATTTGATTTAGGTAAACGGCCAAATCCATCATTAAATCAGACTTTTCTTGGTACGAACATACTGGTTCAATCTTTCAGAGTACTCTAAATAAATGACCACCCTGTTCTTGATTATGCTTTCTTTCTACTTCCCTATGCAAATACTCATTTAGCTCTTTTCTTTGATTAATGCCAATTCTCTCATTAGTCCGACTAATGTAGTGTAAAAAAAAGCTGCACAATCCAGGCACAGCATTGTAAATCTGCCCTTATTAGTAACAGTTCCCAAGAATACTGCAGGTGTCTCCCACAAACAGGATGCCAACACTTGAACAGAATCCAAGTTGTGCTGAATCACAGGTGTTCTCATTGAGTATTTTCCTGTTTTCCACTTGAAATCAACAAGAACAAGATTTCAGTGATCATTAATTACATTTTTAAAATCATTTTTGAAAATGTGCAGATCTGCAGAGACCACTTTGGGAAGGGGATGAACAATATGCCACTGATAGGCACCATATTGCTACTTCCAGGTTACATGGTACTTTGCAAAAGCTTTTGAAGATGATATAGTGCTCTTTCAAGCAAAATAATGGCCATTCTGTTTGAAAGGGAGGGAAGCAACCCCTGTTAACATATAGGTAGTCTTCACTTAGCAACCAGCATTGGGACCAGCAACTCTGTGGCTAAGATCATAATAGTTAAGCAAAAAAAATCACATGATCATAGCACACAATGTCACTTCCCATTTGGTTGTTAAGTGAGTCAGTGTGGTTTGTTAAGCATCACATGACTGCGATTGCACTGCTGAATTCTTCACTGACTGCTTTTCAGAAGCCAGCTGTGAAGGTGGCAAATGGCAATCACATGACCAAATCTCAATCATGCCATGCCTTCTATGATGTCGTGAACTGTTTTATGATCATTTTTATGTTATAAAGTGTTTTATAAAATTTGCCAAATTTCAATTCCATGGGTGACATGAGTCCCAGATTTTAGACAGATTCAGTAAGTTAGTCCATTTAGGATACTTGGTTGGACAACTGTTGCCCTATGGCAGGGGTAGGCAACCTTGGCTCTTTTACGACTCGTGGACTTCAATTCCCAGAATTCCTGAGCCAGCTATGCTGGCTCAGGAATTCTGGGAGTTGAAGTCCACGAGTCATAAAAGAGCCAAGGTTGCCTATCCCTGCCCTATGGTTTACTGTTTTGCCCCGTTAAAAGATACTGGAAAAAGAGTTTTAATAGTATACTGTACAGGGGTATTTAAAAAAAAAAAGAAGAAGAAGAAGAAACTTCCCCCTTTATCCACAGCAAGTATATGCAATATTAACAACTAATCACTGCCTATTAAGAGATAACAAATATATCTTCATCCCATACTTCATATTTTATAGACCCATCTAAACAGTTTTAATTTTGAAAGAACCCTGACAGAGTGCACCATATTGATAGTAATCATTTGACACCTCTGACTATCAAGGCAGTGTTAGAATGATTTGCTGCTAGTCATTACTTTCAAGATTTATTCCTGGTAGAAGAAGCCCTACAGCAGAACTTTCTCTTAAATCTGCCACAGTTATTTTGAGTAGACTAAATATCTTTGTTATACTCTTACTAACAATGGCTTTTATCATTCCTTTTCCCTCAAGCAATTTTTTTTAAAATTATTTTAACCGGTATTGTACTGTGATATGTTTTTTTCACAGCCTTTCAATATGTTTATTCTTCTAATCTCCCCAAAATGTAAATTTTACTCACAGTCTCTTTAATTGACAGAGGTGGAAGCAGCGTCTGGCTTTGTTCCGAAGAACAAAGGCATCCCGAGGTGCGGAGAAATCACCGGACTCCGAGGGAGTTCTCACCTTCGTCCTCTAAAAAGAGGACTAGGGAACTCAACCTCTATCCGGAGAAGAACTCACCACCTCCCCTTTGCCCGGGGAGAGAGGTTTCAAGCCGCGGAACAGCTGTTGATCGCTGTTCCTGCAGCTTTCACGCAGCCCCGAGACGGATGGTTTAAAAGAAAGCCGCCATCGGCGCAGCGAATGCCACCGGAAGTTGCAAAAGTACTTTAAACAAAAGGTTTACTAAAAACAACCTTTAAAAAGAACAAATTTTAAAACACAATCACTTAATAGCACAGGAAATATTTTTGAAGCATGATGCACTTTTTATGAACAACTTCTGAGTAAAACTTGATGGTGACAGTGCTATTTATTGTTGTTCCTTTCCTAATATTACCCCATTGGAGAAAGGGGGAAGAATGGTTCTTGCTGCCCTGCCAAATAGAAAGAAGTTTCTTCACACTCTCACAGTGAAAATCTCAAAAGTCAGGCAAAAGGATCAGCAGGCTACCAGTTTAATAAATCCAAGCTACTTTCTTTCACCCATAGGCCAAATATTTCTAAGCCTCGAATTGGTATGTAAATCCATTGGGCATAACTGTCATTATTTCTTTCCCTGTTTGTCTGCTTCATGTCATTGCTTCATTATGGATAAAGGTGTCATTCATCAATAAAGAGTTTCCTGGGCTTTGAGAAAGACCGAACAATCTATATTCATGAGTCTAGGGAGAAAGAAGAACTGCCTGCTCAGATCCATCAGGGCTAAATGGAGATTTCCTAAAGAAGCCTTAGGAATTAGAGAAAATAAGTAAAGTAGTAAGAAAGAAGAGAATGAAAATGGGTATTTGTAAGCCACCAATGAAAGCAGAAATTCACTGGAAGTTTAGCCCCTCTCTTCCAGTGATGTCATTATGAACTTTCTGCAGCATTTTGTCATTGAAATATGTACGTCAAAATAGGTGAAGGAAATAGACTGGAGATGAGCAGAGACTGAGAACCATATTAATTTTTGCAGAATGTAAATTTTTTGATCAACTAGCATCCTTAAACTTATTCTGCTCCTTTAAAATAGTTTCTGTGCATAAATACACTTCATTATAGCAGGTATAGGCCAACATAATCCTTATATTTGAAGCTCAAATAATTTGCATAAAATAATATTTGATCTCTAGTCTATTGTAACTGAATTTCTGACTGAAGAAGCCGCAGGCTAAATTGAAAGCTCCTTGATCAGGCATTTCTTTGGCAATTGTTTGGTGCCTTCCTAAATAGTGGAATACATGTGCAAATGTTATGCTGGTGTTAAAGCAGGGACTTGGTTGTGCTCAACTGAGGGGGTGGAGAAAGAAGACGGCAGTGAGCCAGTAAGGCGGAAGCTGGCAGCAGTAATGCAGGCTTCATTGTGCTGTCCTGTGAA